CCTCTGCTGCAGGGCTCCTCTGCTGCATTGCAGCACGCTGCACCGCAGCCCCGGAGCGCTCGCGGTCCTGCCCACCCCGCCCAGAAGCACCAATCTGGGAGAGTCAGGAATCCAGCAGTGCCCCGGTGCTGATCTGCTGTGGCACGGAGACAGCCACAGACACTTGCTGTGATGTTTTTCAGAAATGTAGTGAAGCAACCTAACTGTTCTGGAAGAGCAGGCAGCTTTACAGCTAGAATGAAGTTAACTGTTTGCTCATCTCCATACTAACCATACTTCACAAGAACACAAGGTAACGAGATGAGTGAAAAAGATTTTTAAGTACACGTTAACATGTACAAAAATGTGTAAAAGTTTCTCATACCTTCTCCTTCTCCTGAGCTCTACGCATCATTTCCTGTTCTTTCCATTGTCTTTCTTTCTCATCTTCCTTTTCTTTCCTCCTAGCAGATGCAGCAGCTTCTAGTTTAGCAGCCTCTTCCTGCTGTGCTTTCCACTGCAGGACCTGGAAGAAACGGTTGAAAAGACTGTCCTGCAGCAGGCCTGCGTTAGCACTGTGACCCTGCCAAACCCAGACTGGGAAGGAAACCTATGTAATCCGTTTACAAACTGAGATTTACAATCCTAGCAGCAATAAATAAATAATTTAGCAAGCACCACCTTTCCATATGTTAATGTGCAGTTTGTGACTAGCATAATACACAAAAGTCACATATGAAAAGATTTTAGGTAAAAATTGCCAAACCAAGCTCAGCAATATCAGATGTTAAATTCCCATTTGGCACTTAGACTTTCAGTAACATGGGAACTCCTCAGGGAACCAATGAATGGATGGAGAGCAACACTAACAGACCAGAGTCCAGTCCCATCCCTCACCTCCGGCACCTCCGCAACAGCACCTGGCTCCCAACCAGGACCCTGTGGACATCAGCAGACTCCAGCGAGAGAGACTTCGCCTTTTGTCAGCTTCCAAACTGTGCAAAATTCGCCCAGGATCCCCGTCACCTGCCCAGGAGTTGCCAATGCCTGTAATGGCCTTGGATACCTGACACATGGGGGACAGAAGAGTTCCCATGAGAGGCAGACGGCTGGAGAGGTGTGGGCAGGACCAGCTCCACCACGCCTCGGCACAGGGCCTGCCACGCGCCTTAAAGTGCCAGGGACAGGATCATGGTGTTCAACATGCTGAAAATCCATCCTTGAGACACCCCTGGCACACTGTGCACCCCGTCCTCGCCGCTGGCACTGGCAGTGGCTGCCAGCTCTTGGCCAGCGAGGGTCCCCGCGTCACCGCGGCGTCACCAGGAGCTGCCGTACACTCGTCTGCTCCACGAGGCCTGGAACGGGACCAACGAGGTCTCCTCTTCCTTGGCCTGCCAGCTCTTTTTGCAGTGGATTTGTGGAGTGCTAAGAGGACTATTCCTCAAAGGAACTAACGTTCCAGCCATTTTTCATCTGCTTTCCTGTTCCGCAGTAAGTACTTTAATACCAAGATATTAAAATACTTCACTGGTATTTCTCCCACCTTTCCTGCATTTCACTAGCTCTGTGCACAGACCATTAACTCCTGTGTTCCGTGCTCACGGGAGGTTTTTGTTCAGAACTCCTCCGCTCCCTGTGGTCTGAGGCTCTCAGCAAGTGGCACCTCTGCAGGGTTTGCCCTTCTTTTTTGCTTAAGTCATTATAATTTGTTCTTTGTAAAGCCTCCCAATAGACTAAACACTGCTGTGACTCTTCAGGTAGTGTAGGCAAAATAATAACATGAAAATAACATGAAACTTTATGGTGGCTGTAAAATGAAACACTCTCTCTATTAAATGAGTCAAAGACAGCTTGTTAAAGAGATACTCTGCCTGTAACAAATGCCATGTGTACACAGACTAAGCCAACAGTTACTTTTGTGTCCTGCAACCTGAGCTTATCTTTGAAAAGTTCAATGCCATTTGCTACCATACCTATGAGCATTAACTGATGTCTTTCCATGTTTTAACAAACGCATTTTGGGGTTCTTCAAACAACTTAATTTACACTGTTTCTTCTCTCAGAATAACATACAACTTTTACTCGTGTCAACTCCATCGCCAAAGTTAAGAATTATGATTTAGCTCAACATTAAGCTCTAACTTCTTTTCTTCCATTTTTGTAACTAATTCTCAGTGAAGACGTTCATAACTTCATTTCACCTTCTGAAATCTCCTTCCTTACTTTCATAGAAAAACAAACAAACAAGCTAGGAAACTGCCATCTTCACCAGTTACACATCATCCTTCTCTTCAGAACTTGGAAAACATTCCCTTGAAAGAATCTCATGTAAGCAATAGCAATTAAAAAATTGTTAATGAAAGAAAAATTTGGTAGGGCTTCTTTGGCAGTGGTAAACTATCCTTCTATCCCTAAGAAGAAAAAAAGCAGCCCCTCGCCCAACCCCAGTCCTGTGCCCTGCCCCTCCCAGGCACATTCATTTCTGTAAGAACTGGGGGGCACACCAAGCACCTGTGGGACACAGGGGACACCTGTGGGACACAGGGGACACCTGCTCTGCCCCCACCCCCAATCTTCCATTAATTAGAAACAACACACTAACATAAAGAACCCTTAGACATAAGTACTGCAATATACTACTCTGAGCATTTCAGTTTTTCAGAAAAGAGAACCAAATGACTGGTCCCACTTGAACATATCCTGCACGTGAATCAGTTACCTTAATCTCCTCAAAACAGGTGATTAAAAGAAGCAGTGGGTAAAACATATTTGCTAACTAGTAGATTTCCCCCCTGTAATGTCATGCTTTGGGTCACCCTAAATGCATTAATGGATTCAAGCAGTATGTTCAAATTGTTATTTAACGACCTGATGACTGAAGACTGTCGTATCACAGCAGAAGCACCTCGAGCCCTCTCAGCCAGGCCATGGAGATACACGTTCAGTTCTTTACTCTGTAAAATGTCATCTGCTTCCTTTGGAGGAAGAACTTAGGAGAGTCCGGATGACTCTCCCAAGAAAGTGTGTTAGATCCTCTTACCTGCTCCTTTCCTGCCTTGTTGGCAGGAAAACCTTACAGAAATGTTATCAGCTGACAGGGAGTATCTCTCCTAAGTTCTGAAGAGGACTAGTGAAGGGAAGGAACAGCCAAGTATAAGGAGTAAGATGTGTTGGGACCTTTATTTTGGGGTTTTCTGTAGTTCTGACACTGGCAACAAATTTGGGACTAGACAGGGTGTAAACCTCTTGCTTAGCTCAGCAAGAATCAAAAAGGATAATGCAGTCTGCTCAAGCATTTTAGCACTTTAGGAATCTAAAATAAAATGCTACATTGTTTCAGTTAACCTTCACTTGCTACATTAATAAACTTCAACAGGAATATTTTGAAAATGAATGTGGCAGAAGCAATCATTTCCATCTCACTTTTGAAACATTGACACGAAAAGATATACATGAAGCTTTAAAATCTAAAACAAAAAATGAACAAAATCTGCTCAAAGTCTTGTTAGACTGGAGTAATAAGTAATAAACTGCAGAGGCATTTGAAGGTACTTTAAAATTCTGTAATAACATCACTGAGATTTTCTGAATTGAAATGAGGTAACAGTCAAAGTATGCAACCAAAGAAAAAAATAAACTAAAAGCTTTTTAAGCCTGTGTTTTCCTCCATCCTGTTTCACATTCCTTTCAGACTCTCTCCCATAATGAGGTAGCTGCCAGCCTAAGTGAGCTCATCACATGATGCAGCTTCAGTTTCCCTCAAGTCTGGGAATCCTCTTGATCCTTTACTGGTCTTCTCTAGATATTAATTTACCTATTAACCAGGTGTCATTTTTAGTTGTTTGATTGCAACCACACTTATCAGGGTGAGTCCATTAAATCAGTCTCAATAAAAGTTGCAGTTAACTGATACTTAAGGGAACCACTGACTAGAAATGAGAACAGAATTGGCCCAATAGAGAATGTCAAGATAACAACAGACTGAAGGAAAGCAAACAACAACAAAGCAGTGAGCAGATACAGGTATGAATCCAGTCTAGGACCATCTCCAGGCTCCTGACCCACTCCTTTGGCTGAGCAGCTGTCTGCATGGCAGATGTTACACACCAATCTCACGACAGGTAGTAATTTTCAATCTCACTTTCCCTAGTGACCTTCACAGAGCTCTCCTGCTAAAACCTTCTGATTCAAGCCAGAAGCCAATACTGGGGCACAACCTAGATTTTCAACAGGTTTCATCCAAAGAAGTGAGTGTTACCAAGCATCAGGTGTGGAACTTAGCAGTGAGGTTCCCCAGACCAACTGACACACCAGTAATTCAGTGCACACCTTGCTCCTCTCTGCGCTGCCCTAAATCACTACTCAGCACAGCTCTTTACTCACTGGGCAGAACCTGCTTCCCAGTTTTATCTAGTTTGGTGTTTTTGGAATGCATGAGCCCATTGCCTGCCAAGACAACAGGTAATACGAATGACAGAAGGAATTTTCATTGTTTTCTGCTTTCCCACAATACTCATCTATTCTATAGGAAGCATATGAAGTTATTTACATTATCCCTGCCCCTCCCATGTTTATCTAATCCATGCTTTCTCATTAAGGCAAAAGAGGAGTCAACTTCCTTTAAAAAATGTTCATAAATGGAATAAATGGAAACATTGGTAAAAACCAGAAAAGCACTGTTTGCAAAATATTTATCAGCTGTGACTCAGCAGGGCTGGCACTATGCCGTGCCTTCCCCACCTGGAGAGTTCAAGCCATATAGGATCAAATGTTCCTAACAGAGCTGAGCTAGATTAAAGTGGTTTATTATGTAAAAACACCAGAAATTAGGAGTTGAACAGCTGACTCAAATGTCACTATATGTCACTTTTCACACCACGTTCAAACATTAAAACACCTCTGCTAGAGAGCAGCTCCATGCCCACAGCCTCCACGTCCTTTGCGGGGCAGCCTGCCTCTAACGGGGACCTCCTCCTGGGAGGACTGGCCACGGGAGGTGGAAGGGGCCAGAATGAGAAGATTCCCAAACTAGTCCCCTCCCACACTGCCATAGGTTCAAAAATTGTGAGCTAGACTCTCTTAAGTGGAGTGCTTCCTACGGAAGCCTTGCCAGCCACCCTTCCCTGCGAGTCTCCCCCACAGGGTGCTGTGGGGGCCCAGTGCCACGGGCGAGCGCTGGGCCCCGCTGCGGAGCAGGCAGCAGGACGAGGGGCAGCACAGGAGCTGAGCCACCTCCCTGGCAGGCACTGCCAGTCGTTTGATATTCTGCTGTTCAAAAGTGACTACCTGATGCTGAATTTCCAGCACTCCTACAATGCAAGCTTTTCAAGAAAACCCACTGTATTCATCAGGTTCTTCCTCCAGAGGTAATAGCGTACAGATATGAAGAACAAAAAAAGTCCTGAACAATAATTGTGACTCGGTAAGGCAGCAATCCGGGACCACAGAAGGCACAGAAAAATCTAATGTGTTCTTGATTGCATTCTTTCATTCCTATCAGAAAGCAAAAATCAGAAGGGTAGA